AAGTTACAATGATAGATGGCAAAGTCCATACTGCTCTATCAAATGTAACAAGCTCTAGTCAATGTTGCTGTATATGTGGGTGTTCACCAAAAGACATGAACAACATTGACAAAGTTACAAAATTTTCTTACTCACCGAATGAGCTTCAATACAGATTATCTACACTTCATGCATGGATAAGATTTTTTGAGTATCTCATTCATATTTCATATGAAACCAATAAAAAAAATGGCAAGCAAGAGGAGACGAAGAGAAATCTCTTGTCAAAGAACAAAAAATGAAGATACAAAAAGAATTTCAACACAAAATGGGACTTATTGTTGACTACCCAAAATGTGGAGGATCTGGAAACTCAAATGACAGCAATACTGCTCGAATAGCTTTTTCAAATAAAGACTTGTTTGCTGATATTACAGGAATAAACAAGGAACTAATTGTAAAGTTGCATATAATCCTAATTTGTATATCAAGTGGATTTCAAATAGATACTAGTAAGTTTTGCTTACTTTGTCTGCACACCGCAAAACTCTACTCATGCTTGTACCATTGGTATTACATGCCTCAGAGTCTTCACAAGATCTTAATTTATGGAACAGAAGTAATAGAAAATCTATTCTGACCAATAAGTCTATTTAGTGAAGAAGCTCAAGGTGCTAAAAATGAAAAATTTAGAAAATATAGGGAACATCATTCCCGTAAAAACTCAAGAACAAAGACTAACGAAGATGTAATGAAAAGACTTATGTACATCTGATTCAGTTATTTTATCTTATAGAAATACTGTTTCATCTGTAAAAAAAAAATTTCCTCCGGGTGTTGTTGAACTTTTTATTTGCGTGAATTCTACGTTTTAGAATATAGATATATCTAGTTTGTAATTTTTAATTGTAATTAAACCAAAAAATAAACTTTTTTAGCAATATATGAGTTTGATATTCATTTTATATGGTTTGTATAATTAGTTTATAACAGTTCTAATAAAAAAATTTAAAATAATTTTGGCACAAAAAATGCGATTTTATAGTCACGAATCACTTTATAGTCAGATGGTAGTAACTTCTTGGTGATGATTGATTGCGAGCAACCATTATCCACAAGCGCTGTAACAATTCTTGCGTTTATTATCAAGTCGATAATAGGTAGTATTGTATTGGGACGAGTTCTTGTAGAAATACCTAATGCAAACTCATCCCATGAAAGTTTCCCTGGTTTTGTCAACGTTTGTAGCAGTCCTTCGCAGCATGTTTATGCGAGCATTTCTCACATGCAAAGTGATTCAATGATTTGCAGTTGAAACATTGCATTTCTTTCTTTCTCCGTATATCATTTGACATTACAGTCCCAGTTGTTCGGTAACTTGCATTTACTTCTTCATTTACAGATAAACATGCCGCATCTTATCAAGTTTGTACAATCACGGATGCCGTCTTGACACAATCATCAAAGCTCAACATATCTTCTCCTCAAAGAATGGCACGCAGAACAGCACAATCATTAATCCCAATGATGAATTGATCTTGAAGTTGGCAGTCTATCTCTGAAGGCATGAACTTGCATACTTGAGCTGCTCAGATCACTCGATGCGCAAACGTTTGTATCGATTCTTCATTGCCACGATAAGTTTTCCCAAATTCATACCGTGAGATTAATGATTTTCTAATTTCTAATGTTTCCAGTTTCGTCACCAACTCTTCGTACAAAATGTCCACTGGCCATTCAGGTGCTGTTAATTCCTCAATGGTCTTGTAAACCTTCAACAGCAGAGCAGCAAGCATGTATGCTACGTGTAGATCTGAAGTAATATTGTTCATCACGAAAAAAGAAGTCATTTGCCGAATAAATCGCTTTGGCTGTCCATCTTCATATTGCTGAGATAATAGACACGTCCGGCTAGCTTGTTGTTTAACATATTTAGAAGCCATTTTATTTTTTAATGTTTTTATTACTTATCAACAATCTCAAGGTCTCTACATAAAAAATTGTTCACTATATATAGTATTTAAAAATACAACTTGTGACTCTTGTCAACAATTAATGGTCATTATACAAAACGTTATAATAATAAAAATATGCAACCTGTGACTTTTGTCAATAATTAGCAAAGCTAATTATCGACAAATTATTGACGCACATTAAAATCACAACAGGTAAAAATAAAAAAAGTGCATTACACATGGTATGAATAAGCTTTCATAAAACGTTTGCCTCATAAGCAAGAAGTTCTGATTTTGATCCCCTTTACTTCCCTGGTCAAACTGCACTCAACTTGTTTTTCTGCGCAGCGACCTTGCTCATCAAGGTTTGTGTTTCAGAGTTATAAAGTTGATGATGATGATGATAATGATGATGGTTATGATCATGTTGATCATAATGATATTTATATATAAATATACATGCATATATATATATATATATATATATATATATATATATATATATATATATATATATATATAATGTATATATATATATATATATATATATATATATATATATATATATATATATATATATATATATATATATATATATATATATATATATATATATATATAAGATATATATGCCTAAGAACAAAACTAATAAGGAAAAATTCATCACTAAGAAAATAAATGTTTTGATATTGCCCATGCTTAATGATTACCATATCAAGATAAAAGATTGAAGAAAAGAATCAGCAACCAAATAAAGAAAATTAGATTACTATTCAGATTACTATTTGAATTTTAATAATAATACATCAATTTAAACACAAAACAGCTTTACCTATTATAAATATTCAAAATACCCACGTTCTACCTTAGACACTTGTCAACTACCAATTACAGTGTCCAAAAGTTGTATTCTAAACAATCCATTCTTCAATGCAACATTAAACATTCTTATATGCAATAGATATTATTGTAAAACAATTACCAGTTTTAGCTTTTTAGTTGCTCAATTTGATGGCAAAATACTGTTGTATGTTGATGGAACTAGATATAATTAGTTTAATCAACTTGCATTTTAAACCCCTATGTGGTAAAAAAAACTAAAAAAATATTTAAAGGACACTCAAAACAGAGTTGTTAGTCCTTGGCCTTGCCTTAAGGTCAAAAATTAAGGCCTCGGCCTTGAAACTGTTGGCCTTGGCCTGGAAAATTTTGACCTTGGCCTAGATTGTTTTTGCCTTAGCCTTCGAAAAAAAAATACATAAAATTAAAGAACTAAAAGTTTTCATTCTTTGTTTTTATCTATTTTTGTTTTTGGCATTCATATATATCTTTTTTTTTTTTTTTTGTTAATTCACTTCCCCAAGGCTGAGAAGACCACTACAGTCACTGAGGAGGCTACTTATTTGTGGTTATAACCCTCTCTCAACTCTATAACTCTGAAACACAAATCTTGGCAAACAAGGCCGCTGTGCTGAGAAACGAGTTTAGCGCGGAGAAAAAGGTTGATCTACAAGTATGTTTTCTTATTGACTTAGTAGAACTTTGTGCATAACCTTGGTTTATTTTCACAACGTGTAGTTTATTGTCACAGTAAATTGTTACCTACAGTTTTGTTAATAATTGGCCTTAATGTTTAGCAAAAATTTAAGTTTTTAGTCTTGAAAATGTTTGCATCGGCCTTAAAACTTTTTTCTTGGGTTTGAACTTAAAACTCTTGGCCTCGGCCTTGTCCTTATAACTTTCGGCCTTGGTCTTGGCCTCGACCTTGTAACATGTGGTCTTGCTACTTTTGGCCTTGTCAACAACTATGACTCAAAATGATGATGATTTTATAAATTTTGAAGACTTGCTCCCCTCTATTTGGAAAAAATGATGTTAAAGCAACCACTTGCACTTCATCATGGAAGTTGGAAGGTTAAATAATATATATTTTATACATACTTTATAATAATAATAGTTGATTTTTTTTGTTATAAACATCACCAATAAAGAAATTAGTATTTAAAAAAAACATGTTTCTTTATAGCTTCAATATATGTTTGTGGCTTTCAGCTCTTCTCACAACAGAAGCTCCAAAAAATGTTATACTTTTTTTTGAAAATTGAGGATTACTCTTAAGTTGACAGCTAAGTTGCAATTTTTGCAACAAAGAATATTATTTTTTAATGGTATTTAAGTGAAAATACTTCCATTTTTTAGGTATGAAATTTCTGTTGAAGAAAATAAGGCAATTGTGAATGCCTTGCAAAAAGAGCAACACCCAGGTGACTTGAAAAAAAAAAAACTTTAAAACTTAATATTTTAAGAGTTAGGAAAATATGAAGACTGAAATTCAAAAGTTTTTGGTTTTCGAGGCAAAAAATTATTAAAAACATTAGACCTCATTCTCAATAGTTTTTTTATCACAAAGGAACAACTTCAGCAAAAGTATGCAACTTTGCTGAATGAGAATAAAGAAATATGGTAGTTTTTATAGAGAAAAAAAAAAGATGCAAATTTATGATAAGGCTGAAAATTTGACAAAAGTGTTTTTGAACTTTTATTCTAAAAAAAAAGGTAGAAATTTCTACCTTAGGGTAAGATTGAGATATACCCTTAATAAGGTATAATTTTCAACCTTCTAAAGTAGAAAATTAAACTAAATATAATGACTTTTTATACAATTTTTTTTTTTTAGAGTGTTGTCTAAAAAGGAGAACTTCTTTAAAAAGCAGTTCAAAAATGACAGCAATATTTCATACAAGAATGATTAAGAGGTTTACTAAGGTAAAGAATAGAAACAAGTAAAAAAAAAGCAAGCACCATAAAGAGACTATAACAAATTCTAACATTGCAATGGATTGAATATATGGTTTCCATAGCAAGTAAATGTTCTGTTGTAACTATGTTTTTAACTTGTCTTGAACTTTTGATGTTGCATTGTGCTATATTTAACAAACATCAAGAAATATCCAACCTAGCTTTATATTCAGAATATTAATAAACATAGTAAGTAATAATCAAAAATACAAATCAAAAATTAAATAATGAACTGTTATTTACAATATTAACTACAAATTGCAGTAC